AGAATCCCCCTCGTCCTCACGTACCACCCCACCAACCTCCGGATCCAACGCATCATCCTCCGACACTTCCGCCATCTGCAATCCGACCCCACCACCAAAGACATCTTTCCCTCCCCACCCTTATCTGCTTTCCGGAGGGACAACTCTCTCCGTGACTCCCTTGTCCGCTCCACACTCCCCTCCAGCTCCACCACACCCGGCACTTTTCCCTGCAACCGCAGGAAGTGCTACACCTGCCCCCATACCTCCTCCCTCACCCCCATCCCAGGCCCCAAGAAGACTTTCCACATCAAGCAGATGTTCACCTGCACATCTGCCAATGTGGTATACTGCATCCGCTGTACCCGGTGTGGCTTCCTCTACATCGGGGAAACCAAGCGGAGACTCGGGGACCGCTTTGCAGAACACCTACGCTCGGTTCGCAACAAACAACTGCACCTCCCAGTCGCGAACCATTTCAACTCCCCCTCCCATTCCTCAGACGACATGTCCATCCTGGGCCTCCTGCAGTGCCACAACGATGCCACCCGAAGGTTGCAGGAACAGCAACTCATATTCCGCTTGGGAACCCTGCAGCCCAATGGTATCAATGTGGATTTCACAAGTTTCAAAATCTCCCCTCCCCCTACCGCATCCCAAAACCAGTCCAGCTCGTCCCTGCCTCCCTAACCTGTTCTTCCTCCCACCTATCCCCTCCTCCCACCTCAAGCCGCACCTCCATCTCCTACCGACCAACCTCATCCCGCCCCCTTGACCTGTCCGTCCTCCCTGGACTGACCTATCCCCTTCCTAACTCCCTACCTACACTCACCTTTACTGGCTCCATCCCCGCCTCTTCGACCTGTTTGTTTCCTCTCCACCTATCCTCTCCTCTATCCCTCTTCTATCCGCCTCCCACTCTCTCCCTATTTATTTCAAAACCCCCTTCCCCTCCCCCTTTTCTGATGAAGGGTCTAGGCCCGAAACGTCAGCCTCTCTGCTCCTATGATGCTGCTTGGCCTGCTGTGTTCATCCAGCCCTGCACCTTGTTGTTTCGGATTCTCCAGCATCTGCAGTTCCTACTATCTCTGTCAAAACATTTCATTATTTTGGTCTGAAATTATACACAATATGAATAGATAAAGTTTGTTACAAAACAGTGATCTCAATAATGGGTTCTGATGTTGTTATGAATTGTGATAACAAAAGTCAAAAAATTCTATAGCCCTTGGGGATCAAGGGGATTACAACCATCCAGGTTTGTTCCATAGACTCAGGATGAAAAAATTAATTTCCCAGAAGCTTCTTTGAACAGCTTCAGGAAGAAAAAAATAGAGGCATTAAAAGAAAGTTCCTTTTCCATTTGTTTGAACTCTTTAACTTATTAGTTATAAACATATTGGAGATAGGGGAAAAAGCTGCTTGACCAGGCAGTGAAGAAGAGAAGTTGTTGGAGGCAAGACGCACATAATGAAATTTCCAGGAATGAGTTCAACCACATTGGCAACCTTGGTGTTTTGCTACACTAGGGTAAGGACTGTGAAATTGAACACTAGTAGCAAAGTGTACTTTGTTAGCAAGTGATGATTCCCACATTGAAAATGAATAATTATAGTATCATTGCACTAAGTTAATCAAATAACAATTAAGAACTGGGCATGTGTTACACATTGAAGAAAAATTCCAAGTGTTTTTCTTATAAATTTACAATTTTGACATAAACCTGTCGCCTTGATTGTGAGGAAGTGAAACATTCAGCTTTCTCTATCTTTCTTCTCCTCACATCCCTTCCTGCTTTATAATTCGATATAGCTCTAAGTGTATAAGCAGTTTAATGCAGGTATCAATGTATCAGCCCTGAGTGCCTCACTTCAGCAAAGTGCAGGGGACATCATGATGGAGCTGAATCTGCCCTCAAAATGTCCAAATGTGCACACCTTATTTACAAGGAGCGAGAAACTTGGCCCATTCTTTTCCTTTCAAGCCTGAAATCAACTGCTTTGCCCTTACTGTCATCGTGGGTGAAACGGATTTCCCAACACACGTTAGTGAGTAAGCTTGGTATGCATGGCTTAGTGGAACAATCTAATGTTCAACAATCCTCAAATAAATTGAGTCTAAAAGTTTTTGAACAAGGCTATGAAGACACCAGAATCCACTGGGGCAATAGGTTACTTTAAGAACTTAGGAGGAGGCCATTTAGCCTCAAGCCTGTTCCACCACGGAGTAGGATATTGGCTGATCTGCCAACTAGCTCCATATAATTGACTTTGCCCTATATCCCATAATACCTATGGTTAATAAAATCTAACAATTTCAGTTTTAAAATTAACAGTTGATCTAGCATCAATCACCATTTGCAGAAGACAGTTCTAAAGTTTTACCATTCTTTGTATGAAGAAGTGTTTCCTAATTTTATTCTTGAAAGATCTGGCTCTAAAGTTTAGACCATGTCCCTCTTCTTATACACCCCAGCTAACAAAAATAATTCTTCCTATTCTATTCTATTTCTTTTCCTTTTCTTTGTAGATTAATCCTCTCGCTTTTTTTTTATTCATAAAATCATAGAATCCCTACAGTGTGGAAACAGGCTATTTTGATAACCATCAGCAATATACATGCTTTTTAGTCTTGCGGATACTGTCATTACATATCACAGCTCCTCTTTTGGAACAAAGATTATGAGGCAGTATGCGTGTGCATACTATCAATTTTAAGGTGATTGACAGGGAATTTGTAACCTAACCTTGGTGGCGATCTGGAGCCAAGCAGTTCCCAACAAAACACCACTGCCTTGGTATCAATCAGCATCATTTGTTAAACAAAAAAAAAACTGAAAATTCTTACAGTGTGGAGCTGGAGGAACACAGTAGGCCATGCAGCAGCAGAGGAGCAGGAAAATTGACATTTCGGGTCAGGACCTTTCTTCTGATTAATAAGGTGCTATATAAATTCTACTTTTCTTACTTTCAGTCACTACTACAACCTTGTAGCAAGCATATTAATTTATAAACATATTTTGCATCATTATATTTGGGAATTGTCAAAAGCTCCTATTTCCGATCAAATGTGGCTACATGAGAGTGCTGCTAATGAAGGTAATAAAAGTTATTAGAGATGATTTTCTTTTGTCTAATTGGAAAGCAGCTTTCTTGTGAAGAAGTGTCCTGACCCAAAACGTCAACTTTCCTGCTCTTCTGATGCTGCTTGGCCTGCTGTTTTCCTCCAGCTCCACACTGTGTTATCTCTGACTCCAGCATCTGCAGTTCTTACTATCTTTGAAAATTCTTACCTCAATTTTAGTTGGTTCAATCCAGGGATATCAGTTGGTAGGCCACCTTGTTGCAAATGAATCCAAGATCTTTGAATATCTAATGTATATAGGTGACTGGCATGAACAAGGAATACCTTAGGAACAAAACATTTTTAGTAACAACCAAATGTATATTGAACCAGTCTGGGACAGAGGCCTCTTCCCTACTTTACATGGGGGTAATTTATCTGTAATGATTATCCCTTTCTGGCAAATCTGAAGGCAAGGACACAGTCAAATCTCCTGACTCAACATTTTAAGGCCAACATCCTCATTTCTGAACAATTAATTTTGTTTCATTGATACCACTTCTACATTGTGCTTGCCAAAACATCAATCATGGCATTTAGTGCTGTCTGCTATGTAAGTTTGGTGTGGTGGGGGCAGAGGAGTTTGCAGGTGAGAATCCTGCCACACTTGTTTCCACTTCAATTAAATTCACACAGAAATGAATGGATGGTTTTTCTTCCTTGTCACTGATTGAGGCCCTGAAGCGGGCACTCGAAGTGGATTGTTGCTCATGAAGACTGGCTGATATGTTCATCGCTGTAACAGTTATTTGGTTACAAAAATTACTTATTGTTTAGAGAATTCAGAGATGCTTTAATAAGGTGCTATATAAATTCGACTTTTCTTACTTTCAGTCACTAACACAACCTTGTAGCAAGCATATCAATTTCTCAACATATTTTTTGCATGATTATACTTGGGGATTGTCAAAGCGCCTATTACTGATCAAATGTGGCCACATGAGAGTGTTGCTAATGGAGACACTGGTAGTCTCCATTAGTTATTAGAGATGATTTTCTTTTGTCTAATTGGAAAGCAGCATTCCAAACACAAGGAAGATTTGTGCTGGTTAGTAATTCTAATGAAACAATTAACATTTTCATAAACGCAGAATGTAAGCAGGCAGAATATCTCATCACATGCTTAAGGGTAGTTTAAGAAAATACAAATAGGAAGAAGTTATTTGGTCCATCCCAGCCTATTTGACCACAGACAAAGCTCCTCTGTAATAAGAAAAGGGGAGATAGTCTGTTTGAGATTCTTTGAACCTTCTATGTCATTCAATTAAATAATTGACATTACCAAATCATTTAGTGTCCTGACAAAAGGTTCTTCAATATCTATCTCAAAGATTTCTGAAAATCAAAACATAGTATAGTACTGTAATAATTTATATTGCTATATGAGAAAAATCAAGAATTATAAAGTTGCTAAAGACAAAGGATTTTAACATGTGAACTGATAAAGGTATTCATTCCAGTTGCACCAATGGTGTAAAAGCTCTCCATGTTATTTTCAATTTAGAAACAGAAAATCAACTGATTATCAATGTCTCAATTGGCAAAATTCTCAAATGTAATCAAATCTAGACAAACAAATCAAGGGTTATGGGGGACAGGCAGTAAAGTGGCATTAAGGCCACAAGCAGGTGTCATGCCTAACACACAGGAAGATGGTTCTACTTGTTGGAGGTCAATCATCTCAGCCGAAGGAGATCACTACAGGAGTACCTCCTGTACAGGAGTGTGACAAAAACAGCAAGTGCTGATGAAATTCAGCAGATCTGGCATATCTGTGGAGAGGAGAACAGAGTTAACATTTCAAGTCTAGTGACCCTTCATCAGAATGTTCTGCCAATTCTTTATCCATGTTAATATACCAACCCCAACACCACAGGCTCTCATCGTATTAAGTAGCCTTTTCTGTGGTACCTTATCAAAGCCTTTTGGGCTTCCAAGTATAGTACTTCTTGTGGTTTCCCTTTATCCATCCCCTGGTTGTTGACTCCTCAAAAAGTTGCGATAGATTTATCAAGCATTATTATCCATTCATGGAGCCATGCTAACTGTGTTTGTTTATATTATGTTCTGTTATTACACCCTTCATAATACTGTAACATTCTCCAAATCACACATATTAAGCTAACTGGCTTATTGATATCTGTTTATTTTTCGTCTCCTTCTGTTTTGAATAAAGATGTTGGTATTTCTGCAGTTTTCCAATCCTTTGGGACTTTTCCTAATCTAATGATTCTTGGAAGATTCCTACCAGTGCTCCACTAACTCTGTAGCTACTTCCTTTAGTAATCTAATTTGTAATTCTTCAGTTCCGGGTGACTTATTGGCCTTTAGCCCCATTTATTTCTCTAACATTTTTTCTCTAACGATAGTTGTTGTATTTATTGCCTCCTCAGCTTTTGCTTTTCGTTTAGTGTGTTTGAATTGCTATTCATGAAGGCAGCTCATCGCCACTATTTTGAGGACAAAGAGAAATGGACAATGAATGTTAGCTTAGCCAGTGATGACTACATCCCATGAACGAATGGTTCAAAAAAAAAAAAAAAAAATCACATCAGCCATAACCTTATTGCATAGCGAAGCAGGCTCAATGGCTGAATGGTGCACCCCTGCACCTATTTCTTTTGATGTTATGTTCTAAGAAGCAGCAGGGAGTTGTTTAAGTCCCCAGATTATAATACATTAAATGCACATAATGCACTTGAATAATATATTTACAAATATATTTTAAAAATTTCCCATTACTTCCTTGCGCTATGATTTATTAGTTATCCGAGAGCATAGCAATGACACCTGATGTGAAGAACCAGGTTAATTTAGTGATTTTGTTTTCTTAATTGCAGTAATAATTTTTGGTTAAGATTTATTAATTTTACTGGAATGTGATGATAAATTCTTACTGTGGATATATCTAAATGATTATAATTAGAATAATGTAGTAACCCAAATCATGAATCAAATAAACAGCTGTTTCAATCTGGAAACTTTTTGTTAGATTTTCATCATGAGTAAACTCCAGGCCTTAGAGACAGTCTCCTGGAATTACCACAAGTTCGAGGGTCTTCCTTTTTTTAAAGTGTTAATAATATAGATATTGTTCTACCTCTTTCAAACTTTGATGATCAGTGGCCGCCATCAAATATTCCTTCTGTAGCAGGAGGACAGCCAGGCAGAAATCCTCCATCACCTGAAGCTTCCAGTCTTGCATGAACAGCTGGTCCCAGATCAACAACACCGCTGGCAGATGCAAGATGCTGACAAAACCCTGGGGCAATTATCGTTAAGTGACACACAAAATAAATTGTAGTTTCAGATCATCCAGTGCCATAGTGAGTATGCTAACTATCTAGTGCAACATTGAGTCATGTAGATCAGACAAATTCAAACCTTAGTTGTGCTGAGTTTGTTGCATAGGAACAGCAGGAAGCCCCTCAAGCTGGTTCCACTGGTCAGTGTCAATGTGATCATGGCTAATCTGCAACAACTTCATGTCCCCTCCTTAGCCCCATATCCCTTAATATCTTTGGATAATAGACATAGTTTCAATCACCATTTATGGAACAGCCTTCTAAATTTCAACCATCTTTTGCAAGTAGAAGTTCCCTAATCTCACTGTTAAAGTTTTAGGTCATGTCCCATTGTATTAGACTATCTAATCACGAGAAGTAGTTTCTCTCCATTTACCCTAATTTTAATAAAATTGCCCTTCACCTCCTGAATTTCAGGGAATACAACACTAGTTTTTGTCATTATTGTTGATTTAGACATATTATTTTAATGGGGACTGAAACAACACCACAGAGGCCGGTATCCAATCACGGAGACCAGCTTCCACAGGCCCAGCTCTCAGAGTGATCAGTATCTCTGACATTCCTGTTTATATTTGTCAACCAGGGCTCCCTGATTGGACCAGATTAACAGCCCCAATCACTGAACTGATTCTATTCCACCCGGCTGACCTCGTTACAATCACTACAGGGACGGATTTAATAGAGGATTCTGGATGTTCGAATACAGATCCCCAAACATAGTATGTAGGTACAGCATGTGATTACAAAGAAGGGTCTAGGCCCAAAACGTCAGCCTCTCTGCTCCTATGATGCTGCTTGGCCTGCTGTGTTCATCCAGCCCTGCACCTTGTTGTCACAAATAGAATGTCGTTGTTTATTACAAAGGGGAATGGAATGTAACAATAGCGAAGTTTTGCTACAGGTCTACAGGGCAATTGTGAGACTGCATCTAGAGTAATCGGTACAGTTTTGATCTCCTTAGTTAGGAAAGGACATTACTAAATTTGAATAAACCTCTGAGTACTTCATCTGAAAGATGAAGGAATTATCTTATGAGGATAGGTTAAGTTTAGGAGAAAGTGAGGTGCCTTATTGAAATATATAAAATCCTAAGGGGACTTGACAAGCTGGATGTTGAAAGGAAGTTTCCCCTTGTGGGAGAAACCATAAAAGGATATTCGATTTAAGGCATAAGTGAGAAAACAGTTTCTCTCAGGATGGTAATGAGCTTGTAGAATTCCTTTCTACAATAGGGTACAGGTAGCAGCGACTTTGAATATTTTCAATGGAGTTAATTAGATACTTGACTAACAAGAGAACCAAGAATTTGAAACGTAGGTAGGAAAGTGGTGTTGAGAGCATAATCAGACTGGCCATGTTCTTATCAAATAGTATAACAAGCTTGAGAGACAAAATGACCAACACCTGCTCTTAATTTACATCTCCTTTTAGAAAAAAGGATAAAAAGACTCTCCTTTTAACTTAATCCCACAAGTTGTGTTATAATTCTCGTAATCATATGCTACACTTCCTCCAAGTTTATGAATATCTATCCCAAAGTACGGTGTCTAGAACTGTTCACATATTCCAAGTGTGGTCTGACCAGGGCTTTGTACAGATGAAATTTGAATTCTAAACCCCTAGTAACCTTATCATCTAAAATATAAAGGCCAGCATTCCGAAACTCTTTCTTTTGTGTTAGTTCACAACACTGGTAATGATTTGTTTATCTACCCACAAATCTACTTGGACCTTTTTAAACTCTTTCTAGGTTTTTTTTTCCCATTTAGAATGTTCTACCCCTTTAAGGCCCAACGTGGGTGATCTCACATTTGCCTACATTGAAATTCATTGGTCACAAATCATACCCATTCATTTAATCCACACAAATTCTCTTTGTTATTTCATGCTTGCATACAAGTACTTGCAATCCTATCTTTCCTGGTGTCACTGACACAGGTAGTGATATGTCAACAATTAAACTTGGTACTCCAGAGCTTTGAAGAAGGAATTAAAATATATCATGTTTTGTCTTGATTTATATTTGTATGCAATCTTGAGATTTGGAATAAAAATATATGTGGATATTAGCAAGGGAATGAAATGCTAATGATGCTCCTACAGTTGAATAGCTTAATGACCTCACTGTTTTTAAAAGTAATAAATCCAATCAATCAATCAGTCAGTCAATGAGGCAATTGAAGAATGGCCAGTGTTATGATGCAAGCTGATGGTAGTGCTGGACAAGACAGATCCTAAAAATTGAGAAATAGCTTGATAAGGCATAAGTTTTATATTTGCTATTTGTTTAGTGTGGTAGACAGTCTTTGAACTGCTAATTTACTTTTAATTAAAGCTGATAAAAGTTTAATACACACAAAAGGAAAAAGGACATAAAAAGTGGTTGAAACAATTTTACTCCAAATATCAAAATAGAGACTGAATCCTTTTTCCTTAACAGCACCACAGACACTCAAACCTCAGTGAAGGGGCATCTGCCTGCACTTTAAAGTTCCTAGTTCAATTAGAACAGCTGTAATTGGTTTTTGAAGCCTTCTTCATATTGACCTCTCAACACTTTAAGGACAAATATATACGTTTTCCATGTTCTCAGCTTCCATCGGTGTTATTCTTCAGGAGTTTTCTCCTAAACTGCTTAGGACGTATTCTCCAGTTCTAACATTCATAGAGATTGCTAAACCAACAACAGCTTGTCATAGCCGTTTGTTTCCCTGTGTCATAGGATATCACAGCCCCATGTTTGTCTTCCTTCTAGCCTTGTTTCAAATGCACTGAACCGGTCAGCTCATACCTGTACTCCAAGGCTCTAAACCTTCATCATGCTACTGCGGAACCGCACACGCAAATATAAATCAAACCCAAATAGTAATAATAATGCACCATGAATCTTCATCACATTAGCATCTATCAAACCAAATGTGCGCCATCTGACATCCTCCTGAAGTCAAAAATGGAAGAAAAAAACGTTGAAGACTTGTATTTATATTGTGCCTTAGGACATTCCAAATATTGTACAAACCCCTCTGCTGTTCTTACCTCTCCCATCCATTTCCTGAAGACAATTAGTGGATTTCTTAATAATTCTTTGCTAATGCGAGGTAATTCTTCAGAGCCAAGCCTAATATTATGCAATTCCTCAGCTTGTGTCTTCTCCCAAGCAATCTGCTCCAATAAGAATTCCTGAATCCAAAACAAAACCAAATTTTAAAAATCAACTGACACTAGAATAGCATGAAATGGGAGGTCTCTGGGCATGGACATTCTTCTCTTAAAAAGGCAACTTCATGCAATAAGTGAGGCCAGCAAGGTTGACTTTCCCAATGTTGGTTACAGATCTCAATGGCGGTTGTAGCATGGTGTTGCCAAACACCTGAGAAAAGGTTGCACACTCACCTTCTGACCAAAATAACAAAAAGAAAAAAATTATGTTATCAAGAAATAAAACTCGAGAATTTTTAGCAGTAAATAAAAGCTAACATTGATCTGATATAAATGCAAAATAGTGTAGATGCTGGAAATCTGAAATAAAAACAAATCCTGGAAATATTTGCTAGGTCTAGCAGCATTTGTGGAAACAGAAACAAGGTTAAATGTTTTAGATCTGGGAGTTTTCATTAGAATTGGGGAAAGTTAAACTTATAACTGCCTGCAAGTATTAAATGAAAGGGATGAGAGGATACGAAGAACACATGCGACAATACGTGACAGGGAACAGGAGCAGGACGTCAAAATGTTTAATGGTGCAATGTCAATGTCAAAACAAAAGATACGTCTCAAGGAAAAGAAGTGGAATACTGCAGATGCTGGAATTCTGAAACAAAAAGCAGAAAGTTTTGGGAAAATGCAGCAGGTCTGGTAGTATTTGTGGAGAGATAAACAGAGTTACCATTTCGAGTCCAGTATGACTGCTTCAGAACACGGTGTCTAAAAGGTAAAGTTGCCATAGTCTACCAAAACACAGGGCTACTCTTTCGTGAGAGAGAGAGAGATGGTGGTTTAACCTGAGGGTCACCACGCCTTAGGCAAGGGGAGACATTGAGAACGTGAGTCATTCACAGTAACCAGAGGAATCATGAATGGCAGGATTCTGAATAGGTGCTATTCATAAGCAAAGTAAATTAAATAAGAGAGGAGGAAAATAACAAAAGAATAATAAAACAAAACAAAGTCAGGGATTAATATCTAAAATTGCGTTATTCAAATGATGAGTTCAGAAACCTATTACATTTCTAATTTTTCCAATGAAACTTCACATACCTAAATAGTAACTCTGCTTCTCTCTACATAGATGCTGCTAGCTCTGCTTGAGTATTTTCTCCATTTTCCATTTTTATTTTTAAGACCTGATGTAGGCCACAAAGTGACACAGTTACGTGGAATTCTCAGCCTGGATTATCTGCAAAATTTTTGAAGTGGAACATTGGAAATGCAGCCTTCTATACTGTTGTCAATTATAAATACAAATTGGTGATGCTAAGACAATTGTCTCAATTTTAATGGCTAAAGCCTTTTTCCTCATTGTAGTTCAGACAATAAAACAAAGCTAGGGTCCTTGTTCATGATTTATGTCCTACCACATTCAAACAACCAAATGAAAAATAACCTACTACTCAGGTATTTAGCAGATTTAATAACAAATGGCAAACTCAATACAACTTGGAATAAAAATGTCATCCAGTGGCCATATTTGTGGCTGTATGAATGTGCAGATTCATATAGGATTCACATGCCAAAGACACAGTCAATAGTTGACATTATACTGATGCACATCGCTTGTATTTCAACTTGCTGGGTTTTTTAAAAAAGACTGCTAAATACTTTGGTAGTAAGGTGATTTTTTATTTTGCTGTTTGTATGTTGCAAGGGCAAGATTTGCTCTTTAACAGAAACTTTCCAAACAAACTTTATCAGAAAAAAGAAAACTCTGTTGTAACAGACTGTGATGGCCTGAACAATAGTGAATGTGTTATCAAATTAACTACTAGTCAGCTTTTCTAATAGTTCAGTTGGTAAAGTCAGTGTGAAACCAAAATATAATGACCCGTGGCTAATTTGTGCTTTGTGCTGAATTAGCTGTGATCTCAGCTTGAATGGAGATGGCCTTGGTGCCCTGGACAAGGGAGGAAATAAATCAATGAACACTCTTTATCCTGTTGGATATCTAGTAATCCTTGCAGGAAAGGGACGTTTGGACACTGGATAAGGACATGATTAACCTCATCTGTGATACTCTTCCTAGGAACAAAGGAACATGGGATCATGGGAACAGGAGCTAGCCATTAATCCTCTCCAGCCTGTCCCGTCATCATTCAATTCAATCATTGTTGACCTGTTCCTTAACTCCATCTACGCGCATTTGTCCCGCACCCCTTCAGACCCTTGCCTAACATTACTTAACAATCTCAGTTTTGAAACTTTTATTTGACTTACAGCCTCAAGAGGTTTTTGGGGAAGAGATATCTGGATTTCCACTGCCCTTTATTTGAAGATGGGCTTCTTGACTTCAGCCTTGAAGCTTATCTTTAAATTTAAAGCTCTGCTCCTTCTTCTGGACTCTCCCTCAAGGAGACAGTTACTCTCTGTGTACGCTATCAAATTCTTTGATCACTTTAAACACCTCAATATTAGCATCTCTAAATATTCTATAATCAAGGGGTTTATAAACTTATAGTCCTCACAATTTAACTTTTTCATTCATGGTGTCATTCTGTTAAATCTAAATTGCACCCATTAAGCCAATTCATTAGTTTGTCAGCATCACTGTCAAGACTGTCATGGGAAGAATACCACGGGTAACAGATGCAAGGACCATAACACATCACAGATCAATACCTTTAGTAAAAGAAGGGAGAACAAAAGAAAGTTTTGAAAGGTAACTACAAGAACATGCATTATGTAACACTTTCAACAGCAATATTGAAGTATGAGGCTTTGCTCTCCATAATGTGCCTCATAGGATGGGATTGAAAACAGTACATCTTGTTGAAGACATTTCTGATTACATCAGAAAATCTGAAGAATGACTAATCATGCACGCCAACTTCCCAAACGTCTAATCCAAATACGTTCGAGGGAGGTTTCATTCCTGGATGCAAAACCTCACAAAATTTACTTCTTTTAAGTCTATCTGGTATTTTTTCACACATGTGCAATTATAATTTAATGTATTTTTGAATGTAACACATACATTTCCATCTTACAGATTTATTAGATTAATAGAAATGAAAAAGAAAGCAGGGGAGCTGGTGGTGTAGTGGTACTGTCAATGGACTTATAATCTTGAGACCTAAGCTAATGTATGGGATCCCATGAGTTCAAATCCAGCCTTGCAACTAGTAGTTTACAATGGCGAACCCAAGACAATTGTCAATTGTCATAAAAACTCATCTCTGCACTCAGTTGTGTCAAACCTGGTAAAGAGTCTAAAAGACCACTGGCAAACCTAAGAGACCAAAGGTATCCTTATAACTTCAGGGGATTTGTGCCAAAATTTGGAGAGCAGACTAGCAACACAAAAACAAAGTGCTGGAGAATTAACAGGTCTGGCAGCATCTATGGAGAGAGAAAGAGTTGTCAAGGAATAGCTTCAAGTTTATACTCACAGAATTATGCCTTATCGAAGACACAAGAGCAACGGTAGGCCATTTAGCCCTCATACCTGTCCTCCAATTCAATAAGATGATGGCTCATCCGACTCTAGCCTTGTCTCCTTTTTGGTGTTAGCTCCTCACAGCCCTCAACTCCCCAATATTTCAAAAATCTAACTACTTCCTCTTTAAATACTTTGTGATCTAACCTCCATAGCTTCCTAGTGTAGAACATTCCAGATATTAACTATCCTCTGTGAGAAGAAATCCCTTTGCACCTTAGTTTTAAATGAGTCTCCCCTTATTCTGTAACGCATTAGAGATTCCCCACTAGTAGAAACATTTTCTCAATATCTACCCTGTCAAACCCCTCAGAATCAATTAATAAGATCACCCTTCACTCTTCTGATAAATAAATGCCTAATCTGTTTAGATGCTCTTGATAAATTGATCCCTTCATTCCAAGAATCAGTATAGTGAATCTTTTTTGAACTACCTTCAGTGCCAGTATATGTTTTTTTCAGATACGGGGACCAAAACTAGTACACAGTACTTCGAGGTGTGGCCTCACTAATACACTGTACAATTGTAACAAGACTTCCTTCCATTTAAACTCCAAAACCCCAGCAATAAAAGGCAAAATTACATTTACCTGCTTAATTACAGGCAATATCCCAGGGAGTAGCCCAAACATTGAGTGGACTGATGCACCAGAGGTGATGGCACAACAGCATACTGGGAGTTCTGAATATTTACTCCATAGCCAGGTCTCACAGCATTAAATGAAATCAAGGCTAGGAAACCTCCTGCTGGTTGTCACCTGCTGCCCCCACTCAGCTGATCAGTGCTCCTCTATGTTGAGCATCAACCAGAAAAGGTGCCGAGTGTGACAAAGGCTCAGAATATATTCTAGATGGGAGGCTTCAGTGGCCAACATCAAGATTGGCTCAACTGCTACATACCAGGCCCCGAAGGAGAAAGCATGAAGATTGCAGACCCTGGTGGTGAGGGAATCAATGAAAGGGAAAAACCTTGTCCTCACTAATCTACCTACTGCAAATGTAGATGTTCAAGACATTATTGGTAAGAGTGACCAATGCACAGCTCTTAAGGCACTGAAATCTTATTTCAAATCGAGGATAGCCTTCATCATATTGTGGCTGTATCATGTTGCTAAATGGATCAAATTCAAACAGATCTAGAAACTCAAAACTGCACATTCATGAGACATTAGGGGCGATCAGCAGCAGAAATGTATTTAACCATTCAACTCCAGCCACGATAATGCAGCCTGCTTGATTGGCACCTATCCACCACCTTAAAAGTTTTAGTCCCTCCACCACCAGTACACAGCAGCAAGTAGCATGTAACTTCTACAAGAAGCAAGTGGCAACTCAATGTGCTTTTTCAACAGTACTTTCCAAATACATGACATCTACCACCTAGAAATACAAGGGCAGCAAATGCACAGAAACATAACCAGCTGCAAGTTCCTCTCCAAGCTACCCACCATCATGACTTAGAACCGTATCATTGTTCCTGGGTCTAAATCCTCACATACCATCCTTGGCAGCCTTGTAAATATACCTAGAGCATCACATGAACTGCAGTAGTTCACAAGCATGGCTGATCTGCCTTCATGATGGCAATTTGGAATGTCCAATAAATGCTGATCTAGTCAATGATGTCATCATCCCACGAACAAATCAAAAAAAACTTTCATAAACAATTTTAGCAACAATAAAATTTCAGTACACCTGATTGTGATACTTCAGACTTTCTGGCAGTTAATTGAAAAAGCAGTTAGCAGATATAATAGACAAACACCGTGGCAGATCCACAACATGGCTAAAAGTGAAGTTATACACTTTGGTGTGAAAAACAGAAAAGTATGATTTAAATGATGATATATTGAGAAGTGTGGATATGTAAAGTGATCTGGGTATACTTGTACACCAGTTAATGAAAACAGATACACAGGTGCAGCAAGTGATTAAGAAATGGTATATCAGCCTTCATTGCAAGAGGATTTACATTCTGAAACAGTCTTACTGCTGTTACACAGGACCTTGGTGAGATCGTCCTGATGTATTGCATACAGTTTTGGTCCCCTACTTAAGAAAGGATATACTTTGGAGTATTTACAGTAATGAAGGGAGTGCAGTAGAGGTTCAGTAGACTGCTACCAGGGATAGCAGGACTGTCCTATGAGGAGGAATTGGTTTGACTGGGCCCGTGTTCACTAAAGTTTAGAGAATGACAGGTGATCTGATTGACATGTATAAAATTCCAACAGAGCTGGACATAATAGGGAGGATGTTTCCGCTGGTTGGAGCATTAAGAACCAATGGACACAGTCTAAGGATACGAGGGAGACCACTTCAGACCAAGATAAGGAAAAATTTCTTCACTCAAAGGGTGGTGAACCTGTGGAATTCTCTATCACAGAAGGTTATGGAGGCCAAGTCACTGAATATATTTAAGAAAGAGATAGGTATATTTCTAGGTTTCAACGATATCAAGAGGTATGAGGAGAAAGCAGGAATATAGCAATGAAATAGAGGATCAGCCATAATCCTACTAAATGGCTAAGCAGGCTCAAAGTGCCAAATGGCTACACCTGCTCCTAGTTTGTTTGTTTCTATATATAGGCCTCTTTGCTTAATTGCATCCAGTGAGGCTACCCACTGGGAGTATTATTATATATGGTAGAAATGTTAATGATTTTCAGTCCAGTTTTCTGGTAGAGAAGCATTTACTAATGACATTTTTGAATTCAATGATCTCTCACCTCGGGCTCAATTAGGATGTTTTTCATGAAACAGGAATGAAGGTGTGTGAAGATTTCAGAGTCTTCTTTTTTGAGACGATTCATGACTCGTTCTGCCATTCCAAAAATTTCAGGCCAACTTGGGAACAGATTGCAAATGAGCAGATGCAGGTACATTGCCAATTCATATGGATGTTCAGCTTTTATAAAGGAAACAGAGGAAGAAAGTATAATGCAAAAAGAAACTAAATCACATGACAGATTTTAAAGGAATCAACCTCCTCTCAACAGCAGTCTTAGGTTTGTGCCTGTTTTGATTCTACTGGCTCATTGCTGGTCTGTACTTTTTTCTCTTGTTCTTTGTATGCCTTATGGTGTTCTTCCTCCTCCTTATAACTTCAGTGTGCTGAAAAATACAATACTCTATTCTAACACATTCTTTATCAGCACTTTAAAGCTCAACAGTGAAACAGTTTACCTTCCTGTCTTGTCTTCCCTCTATGTTCTGTATGCTTTTAAAATCCAATGCCTGTTATCACAATTGCTTGATTTATCTGGAGATAGCGGGAACTGTCAATGCTGAAGAATCTGAGATAACAAGGTGTAGAGCTGGATGATCACAGCAGGCCAAGCAGCATCAGAGGAGCAGGAAAGCTGATGTTTCGGGTCTGGACCAAAGAAACGTCAGTTTTCCTGCTCCGCTGATGCTGCTTGGCCTGCTGTGATCATCCAGCTCTACACCTTGTTATGCTTGATTTATCTGCTTCTTTCTTTCTTTTCCTAACCTTGGCGTTTTCATACACCATGGACATGGCCCCTTCATCTTAAATTGACTGATTATAAGCAATCTGTGTTGAGTGGTTTCTGTTTGCTTTCTAGTAAAATGTTTTGGCATAGGAATAATGCCTTTGAAGTGAAATCTTGTAAATCAGACAGTGATGTGTATTGTTTCAGCCTGTGCAGAACAAGTTAGTGATAGCACGGAGATTCCTTCCTAGCCTGTATTAATCACATTTAAAGCAGTCAACCAATCCTCATAAGTATGAAGAATTACTTGTAACAGAACTTCTATCCATTACACTTTGCTCTTTAACACTTTGGTAAATTACCTATCATCATCTTAGTTTAAAGTCTGCAACATGTCTGGTACTGTGCTCCTCTGAACAAGTGGTCATTGCAAAGCATCCCAAAGCGGTGTTCATGGCTCTACAGTTTCTTATCATATATATGTACCTATGCTGTATTTCAACACTTAAGGTGTTCCGTGAACTAGGAAGTTTAAAATGACTGTTCTCCTTTTATTTCCATGTCCACTTACTACCAATGACCCTGATTGTCTTTCCAGCCTATAAAGAGGACAATAAAAATCTTGCGTATTTCATTTTTTGAAAGATAATTTCTTCCTATGAATCATGTCTAAATGATTAGTTACTACCCCTTAACTTATGACTTCACGCTGAGTTTGAGCCTTTCTTCAAGAATATAGGTACAGGAGTAGATCATCCATCGCAATCAATTAGATCATGAATGATCTGTACCCTTATTTGTATTTTCTCCTTATACCAGACAGACCTTTACCTAGCAAATTTGACAACATACAGGGCCTCAATATTTACTCTGGCTCAAAATAAATTCCCAATTTTCCTCTATTACTCAAGCTGGCTCCAAAGAATAATTTTTTTTTTGAGCCACACATTTCTTTCTGCCTCAACAACTATTAATTTTCTAAAAACCACCAAGACCTGAATATTGCTCTAATATGTGAGCAGCCTTGAAGTATTTGTCCATACTCTTGGTCAAGTGATGGAAAAACAATAAAACAGCCTGAATTTCATGTCCATAGCTGTGGTCCCCCTACACCAGACAAAAAGCCATTTCTAGCAAACCCTTCTGATGAAGGGGCTAGGCCCGAAACATCAGCCTCTCTGCTCCTCTGATGCTGCTTGGCCTGCTGTGTTCATCCAGCCCTGCACCTTGTTGTCTGGCAAACCCAACAGGATTCAATACTTACCAAGCTTTCTGTCAGGGTTCTAGTGCCTTTAATGGTGAAGATTCTAACTTCAAGAGCTGCTGGACAAAGAGAGGGTAAAGAAGCTCCGTGGGCTAGGTGGGATGGCCACCACTGAGATTGAAGAGGCCCCAGGAAACAAGTAAGCAGGGAGATTCACTAAGGACAGTTAGGAAAACCCTGCAGTCACTGCAGAAGATTCAGGAGGGTTCTTTCAGCAAAGCGGCCCTTGCCATCAAGGGAGACCACCATGGGCCAGAGGGTGCCTGATTAGGAAACTCTCACCCTGACTCAGTGGAGATGCTGACTGCTACTTAAGAATCTCAACTGACTCCCAGGTGAGAAGGCCATCCTCAAGCTAACATTGTCTTAATCGAACAGAGTGAGGCTTTTCACCAAGTGCCTTCTCATCCAATTAGACAGTTCACCCACCCCAAACCCACTCCCAAAGGGGAGATTAAATTCTGCCCCAAATCTGCTGCTAATTCTGTCACCTTGCATTTAGCTTCTTACCTGCCCATCATTTTCTCATCTTACTATATCATATCAAGGTCTGAACTTTCCTGTTTTCCTTCTAAACTGCAAACATTTCTTCCTACATATTTTCATTCTCCTGTATTGAAATAAAAGCTCTAAAAATCTGTGCAGTACCATACTGATTTATAAAACAAGCATGATAGATAAAAATGTTATAGAATAATTCTTTTGCCAATTTTTAAATCTATTTTTCTGCCTCCTTCTCTTTTAGAATTCATAGGCACCTTTTGCCCTTTAATACCCCACATTGATTACCATCCTTCAGAAATTTGCCTGGACAGGGAGTCATGAATAGGAGGCATTGCAACCAAGCAAAATTCACATCATTAAGTTATAAGACCATAAGATGTTGGAACTGAAGTAGGCCATTCTGCCCATCAAATCTGCTCCTCCATTCAGTGAGATCATGGCTAACCTGTTAATCTTTAACTGCACTTTCCTGCCTTATCCCAATAACCCTTGATTCCCTTACCTGTTAAAAATTTATCTTTGCCTTGAATATACTGAACAACCCAACCTCAACTGCAGTATACAATTCCACAGAGTGACCATGCCTGAGAGGGGAAAATAAAATTCCTCATCTCTATCTTAAATATATGTCCCCTTATTCTGAGATTATGCCTTGTGGTCCATTGATGTCAACACCTTCCAGTGGGTGCTACTATAGATAACAAATAGTAGCAGTAATGATCATTGACTTTCTCATTTCTAACCTGTAGAGTCCAATTAAGTAAGCATCCATTGCCACACAAATTAAAATCAGCACAAAGCTACAGTCAATCTGAGCCATCTATTCTGTTTAATTAAGTTACACATTGCATTCATCAATTGAATCATAGTAAAAATTTGCTAATCTAATTTTACACTTTTGTCTTCCCTCTGTCATACAACTTTTCAGTTTCTCACCCTTTGCTGATGCCTGTTTGAAAGCAATCTGGAGAGGAAAGAGCCAGTAGATTAGGTAGGGTTCATATGTTCCATCATAAACATACAGTACGTTGAGTGCTTTACTGGCCTCTAGAATCATCTGCGCATTTGTGGCAAATGGCTGCATGCAGGGTGTCTTTTCAAATTTCTGTTTGGATTGAAAAAGGTCCATATGATCAATCAAGGATACTCATACTTCCTAAAGGCTTATATATGAGACATTTGTTATCATGTATGATCAAATCCAAACTAGTGTTAGGAACATATACACTTTTAAGTTCTATGAATTCCGCAGAGATCAATAACAAAGCACATGATTGATTAGTGCCTAACAGTGAGCACTCCTGTGCAGCAATGCCCATTAGAAGATACATTGAGATAGATCTAAATTTTTCCATGTGGGAGCTTGATATTAAGATGATATTTTCATCCCAGTTTGGTAAAGGAAATTAAAATAATTAAGATTCAAAAATAAAGTGTACATATCTCACCTCAACTACAGCATTTTCCACCAGTCTTGAAATAGGAGATTGTGTTGCACTTTTCAGTTTCAATTCGGAAACCCTGTGTGCAACTACCCGCCCAAACTGCACTCTAATAGTTTTCTCAACACTTTGGAGGAACAAGAGAAACATTCAAAAGTACAGTCACTAATGTAAAATTAATACAAATGAAAAATTACAATTATTTTATCTATTGATCTTCTGTCCCTTATTCTTTCTTCCACTCCTCCTTGGCTATGAATGGTCACAAGATAACTGAAGATGTGTCAGCCATTTTTAATTCTCCCATGAATCAAAAAATTTTCCTATTGCATATTCAATTGTTTTTGGAATGATTACGAGGTATTTGCATCCATTAGTTTGTCTGTTCTATTTTGGTTATTCTTTGATAGATAGATACTTCATGAAATCAGTCCTATAAATAGCTCTCATGAGTTTGCACATCTTCTTGCCTTATCCCTCCAATTTATTATGAAGTAATACTTTTTCAGTCCCATTACAGTCTGACTCACTTCTCCATGATTATGTTTCTTAAATGTCACCTATACTAGGGTTAAACAGTTCAAATTTCTCCAATTTCTGCTTATAACTTAGATACCTCACATGGTTCTTTTCTGCATTGCAACCAGCACTTAAGTGTCTCCCTTGCTTCCTGGTGACCAGAACTGGCATAATTTTTAAGCTGAAGTCTGGCCAGAGTATCATAAACTTTATTTGCTGTCTTCTCTGTTATATGTTACTCTTTGAGCCATTTGTTGATTAATGTTCTGCAAATTTGTTGGATATATTTAGTATCAACAGCACAATTTCTTTCATTTTCTTCCTTACATATTTCAAAACTAAAAATTTTCTTTCCCCAGACACTGTATTCACTATTGCTCTGCCCAGTTGCAAGTTTTGCCCACATCATTCTGTAACTTTTGACCGAAGTGACAAGGCATCCAATCCACGCCTGAGCCTCTGTCAGTGTTGCTCTTGATAAACATGTACTACACATGTATGAATAGATGCTTGGCATGAATTTCTTGAAAGTCTTGAACTGTGTTGAATTTGTCAGATAGGGAGCTGTGAGGGTAATTTTAGAATAGAATAAGTCTGACAGAAGATCATTAACTTGAAATGTTGACTACGTTGCTCTCTCCACAGATGCTGCCAGACATTCACAATATTTCTGGCATTTTATGATCGTATTTCATATTTACAGCATCTGTAATATTTTGCTTTTGCTTGATTTATAGGAGTGTTCTCTCATCCTAGACTATATTGAAGCTAATAATCTGACCCTTAAATAAGAACTCTAAAGCTTTGGCAAAATGTAATGATAAAGAACTAATACATTGCAAAGAATTCTAACCAATGAGGCAAGAATATTAACATACTGGAATGGGAGAAATATGACAAGAAATTGCAGTTTGTGGCATTAGTGCATGAGTTCTTAATGCATTTGGATCACATAACTTTGTCATTTTAATAATAGCACTAATCTATTTAAAATAAAAGTGTCAACACCTCTCAAAGCTGATAAATTAATGCATTAGAAGAACATATTAAGCTAAAGTTAATATCATGCAGAATAACTTCTGAACCATATAAGCTAAATATTGAATCATCAACATAAAATGTTAAGATAAGGTAACAGCTGAATCCTTCTTACTGCACTGAAGTAATGGCATGATTTTGTTTCTCCACTTTCAGCAGCTTATCCAGCCAGGTGAAGCTTCTCAATGTTGTCGGAAGCAACTTCCCCCTCAACCGTTCAAAAATGACAGGCATTTGTTCACAATCTGTTTGGAGGATGGCACAGATTGAACCTCCAAGTATTTCACTCTGCGTACTGCTCAGTGGTGGAGGATTCAGCTTGGGCTGCAGGTTGTCCCCATCTGTAAAACTATTTAAGTCAATATATCCAAGACCAAAAACTCCTCACAAAGTTTAGTAGCAGAATGTAAAATGAAATGTTTAAAGTTAGATATGTATTCAAGCACATGGGAAATAAAATCACTTAGAAACTACACAGCAATTTAATGTTCATACTCTTGGGTTTCAATGCACTGTGGAATAAGTTATCTGCAGACAGCGAATGGATTTAAAAATATAATGAGAAGGCAGGCAGGTGAGGATGAGATTATTTGAAAAGGCACAGCCTTGGAAGGAGGCAACATCACCTCATTTTTAAGAAAATTTAAGAGAATAGTGAAAACTGGGAACTACAGATCAGTTAGCCTTTCATCAGTAAAAGGGAAATATTAAAATCTATTATAAAGGATGGGATAATTGATAAAGAGCTAATGGATGGAGGAAACTTAGGTTTTCAGAAGGCATTTGATAAAGTCTCCTGTAGGAGGTTGGTTAGAAAAGTTAAAGCAAGTGAGATTTGGAGGTAATGATTGGTTAACAGATAGAAAACAGAGACTGAGAATAAATGGGTCACTCTCGTGTTGGCAGGCTGTGTCTAATGAAGTACCCACTACTTGGGATAGCTGTTCATAACGTACATCAATGATTTGGAGTCAGGGATCAAATGTAATTCTAAACTTGCAGATGATACAAATCTAAGTTGGAATGTGTGTTTTCAGGAAGATGTAAAGTGGCTTTGGAAGCATTTAGACAGGCAGAATATGGCATGGAAAAATTCGATGTCACCCATTTTGGTAGAAGAAACAAATGTGTAGAGTATTTCTGAAGTGGTAAAGTGTCAATAAGTGACTGAAGCCTAAAATGCAGCTACAGTAAATTATTAGGAAGGCTAATGGTATATTAGTCTTTATTACAAGAGAATTTGAGTACAAGTGCTGTGATGTTTTGCTTTAATAGTAAAGGAGCTTGTTTAAACCACACCGAGACTACTTTGTGCAGTTTTGGTCTCTTTATCTCAGGAAAATTATTGTTGCCATGGAGAGAGTGTAAAAAAAAATCACCAGATTTGTTCCAGGATGGCAGGAATGTCCTATGAGGTGGGTAAAGGAATTAAAGTGTTTGATTAACCATGATCGCATTTAATGGTGGGGCAGGCTCAGTGGACTGAATGGCCTACTCTTGCTCCTATGTTTCAATAAATCCCCAGGACCTCCTGGCTTACATCCTGGAATTGGAAAAGACACAGCTGCAGAGATAATGTATGTACTGGAAAAGACACAGCTGCAGAAATAATGTATGTGCAGGTTATGCTTTTCTAAAATTGCTTGGATTCTATAACAATCCCAGTTGATAGATAGTTAGGAAATGTAACTACTATTGAGTAAAGGGGGGAGAAAAAGGATAGGGAACTAAAGGCCAGTTAACTTAATAGATTTCCTACTCAATCTGTTCAGAGGTGTTATTACGCACCTCTGGGACTTGAACACAGGTCTTCTGACTCAGAAGTAGGGACACTACCACTGCACCCCAAGAGCCCTATCAGTTAACCTTATATTAGTCATCAGGAAAATGCTGGAATCTATTCTTAAAGAAGTCTTCACAATGCACTTAGAAAATCAAAGTCTGATTGGACAAAATCAACTTGGTTTCATGAAAGGGAAATTGTGTTTGATAAAATTATTAAGAGTTTTTTGAGGATGTAAGTAGTAAGGTAACTAAAGAAGAACCAGCATAATTAGATGCTGAAAAGGATCTAGTAAGGGTCATGGAGTTGGGGGTTATATATTAGTTTGGAAAAAGGAATAATCAATTGACAGGGAGCAAAGAGCAGGAACAAATGGAGCATTTAAGTTGGCAGACTGTGATTAATTGAACGCCACAGGATTAGTGTTGGAGTTTCAGCTATTTACAATATATATTAATGACTGAGACAACGAGACCTAAAGTAAACTCCTATGCTTGTCGACGATATAAAGCCGGGTGAGAATGCAAGCCGTGGAAGGATAAATTAAATGGCAAAGACATATACACAGTTAAAGTGAGTGGTGGCAGATAAAGTATAATTTGGGAAAGTGTGAGGTTATTCACTTGGTAGCAATAACAAAAACAGATTTAAAAAAAATGTGACTTGGATTTATTTATGCAAAAACACAAAGACAGCATACCAGAACAGCACGTAATTAGGAACCCAAATGACATTTTGGGTTTTATGCAAGGACATTGGACTACAAGAATAAGGAAGTCTTCCTATAATTGTACAGAGCTTTGGCGAGACCACATTTAGTATGCAGTTTTGGTCTCCAAATTTAAGAAGAGATATATCTGCATTCGAGGTGGTAAACCTTCACAATGAGCACCTGGGATGAGAGGCTGAGTAAATTAGACCTATGCAGGATTTAAAAGAATGAAGGTGATCTCATTGAAACATAGAAGATTCTGATGGGTCCTGATAGACAGAGACTGAGAGATTGATTCCCTGGCTGGAGAATCTAGAACACATAGGCACAGTCAAGGTGGGGGGTTGGGGAGAGAGGGGTGGAGAGAATGATTTTGGGAATGCTAATATGAGGCTACAGCTACTCAATTATGGTACCCCTACTAAGACAAGGTTGAGCAGGATGAGCCAAGCAAAGCAAAATGCCATGCACAAATTGTGATGTGAGTTTGTGCCCTGAAACACTGAATCAGAAATACATCTCCAATCAGCGGTGGTGGCGGGGGAGCAATGTTAGTGGCTCATCAACAAAGCTCAAACATCAAGTCAGGTCCTACCTATATTAGTTGGGGGAACAGTGTTCTCAGGCACGTACTATTAGGATTAATCCAAGAGCTATGTCTTTGGCTAATGCTACAGTTTCATTTATACCATTTGTTGTTAACTGAAATGCTGATCCTCGCCGCATTGTCAGGTGCAAGTCTTTACTCTCTACTGATTTAGGATGTCTCCTGATCAATTCTGCCCGTGGGCTCTTCCATGTAATACAGCTTTGTGCCAAGTTGGATACAGGTTCCTAGTAGAATTAAGCATAGCAGTTTATTCGTTGCAAAAACTGAGACAACCGTAAATCATTGCAAGATCAAACTAAAAAGCATAAATTCAATGTAATGCGAAATCTTCTCCTCAGTGCAGAATTTTGTATGGGTTAATTTTTTTTTCTTCTGTTAACGCCTATGCAAAAACATATGTATCATTTCAGGTTGAACACCTTTCACAGATAATGTTATTTTTTCTCCCATCATCAATGATATGCTTCTTGACCTGCTGAGTACTTCCATCAGTTTCAATTTTCATTTCACTCTTTCTGTATCTATTGTATTTTGCTTTTGTAAAATGTATACACGTCTGCTAGAAATCTATGTCAATGTTCAAACAACTAAAAATGTAGAATTGTTGATCAACTTTTCATAATGAGTGTATTTGTTTTCTCCCTTTACTATGATGTCATTACCTCATTTTATCATTCCAGCCTGACAACTCTGTTAAAACAAAATACACAAAAGGATGAACATCAATTTCTTCCAGTCTGTTGCTTATATTAAAACCCATATGGTTGGATACAAAGCAGTATCAGGAACTACCCAGCATGATTTTCCCCTCTAAAGTTTCCACCTTACTCTTGCTTGAAGGCATAGCTGCCCTTGTGCAGTATTTCCTGGATGATGCATTACAAGTCAGAAACTAATGTGTTCACTCTGCCTCTCTCAATTCAATCTCACAAAACATCAAATAAATGAAGCTGAAACAAATATTTTTCCTGAATTTGAAGTGGTAAATTAGAACATCAGCCAATTCATTCCCTGCAAGTTAAATATACATGTACAGCCTTCAAATTCAGGGCTTGTTAAGGTTATCCTTTTCATTGAGATATGGCAGAACAGAATTCATTTTTAAAAAGAATTAGACTTAATAGAGTTGATGTTCACCATCATTCCCCATTGCAGTAAATTCTGTGTTTGCTGCAGGAATTATTATTAATGTTACACTGTAGTGTTTTGGGTGAAAGCCATTTTATTTTAAAAACAGAAGAGATACTGCAGAAAAAAATTGCTAAACAGCCAAATTCTACGAAGAATGTCTGAACCTCTCATACAACAATGGATTGTGCTCAGATACATACAAGGGGATATTGGGGTCATGCTAATCCCATAATGTAGCATAATTGTACATTGCCTTTAATCGGATATTTTATTGGAAGAACATTATTTGTTTCAATACAGTGGTGTGATTGTTGCCGGTGTTTGTGGAACGCAGAGGCTATACACAGAGTTATTCCTAGCTTTAGGTTTCAAACTCGGGTCTTAAGATCCTAAACAAGAAAAAACAAAGAACTGTGGATGCTGGAAATCAGAAACAAAACCAGAAATTGCTGGAAAAACTCAGCAGGTCTGGCAGCATCTGTGGAGAGAAAGCAGAGTTAATGTTTTGGGTTCCAGAAGAGTCATTGGACCCAAAACACTGCTTTTCTGTCCACAGATGCTGTCAAACCTGCTGAGTTTTTCCAGCAATTTCGGATTTTGTTTCTTCTGATCCTAATGTCACCGAATTTTTATCTTCCTGAAATCAAGTGTACTGTTTGCAAAGTTTTGGGAATTTGGTATTATCTTTTTGTCTATTTTTGTTGACTAATTAACATTCTATTTTCCATTGTCATTGAAATTGCTTTTTGCATTATTTTTCTTTAGGTAGCTGATATGGTCTTTTCAGAAGTTTGGACAGCAGTGTCTGCTGGAAGTATGTTAATATTTTGCAGCCTCCCGAAATGTCAATGATATTTAAGTAGCCATCAGCAGAAAATAATAAACATTCAGAGACGATGTTGCAGAATTGGTTACCTTAGAACATACAAAAATCAACGCGTTAAGATTTTCTTAAATTTACTGAAGTATAAATTCTTCCTAACTAAGGCTTTTTCTCAGTTTATTCTCATATCTTTAAGTTATTTATCTCCCCTTTTAAGTATTCCAAACTGTATTGTGCTCCATTCCCATTCTGTGTAGGAAGGCAAGAATCAGTCAACCTTTGAGTATTGTCCTGGCCAATATGTGCTCTAAGTAGTAAAAATGATCCCTCTCCATTTGATATTCATGGTTGATTGAAAATTCATTGTGGCACAATAATTGCTCTGAAAAAATTGTAAACGCATTCAAGTAGTAGTTTACAATTTCATTACAAGTGTTAAGAAAAACAGACTGCCACACCTCTCTCACACTTGCTTCAAAAAGCCATGGCTCCAGGAATACTGACAAGCTAATCATTAAACCCCCCTCAAACACAAGGACCAAAATCCACATGCCTCTCATTCAAAATCCAAAATAAATGATATTAAAACGTATATCAATCACTCACCGTGCACTACATAACACATTGTGGATCTATCTACAGTAGACTGTAATCTACAAAATCAAGCCAAGAGAACAAATTTCTCAAAGCACCACAAAGCTTCAAAGAAACAGTAAAAATATCTTTAATTTACACTTGTCGTAATTTCTTCAATGTAAATGATTATTTAAATCCAGATTTTATTCACAATCATGAAAATTATAAGTAGCCAAACAATATGGAAGAAATTTTAGAAGCAGCAAAAGGCCATTAGGTCAATCAAACCTATACCTTTCTGATAGATACACAATGTGTCATGTGATGCATAGTAAGTGATTGATATATATTTTAATATCATTTATTTTAGGGTTTGGATTTTGAATGAGTGGTAATGGGTGTTGATGTATGTGAATGAGAGAATTTATGGTCAACTTGTCAGTATTTCTGGAGCAGAGCTGGATGAACACAGCAGGCCAAGCAGCATCAGAGGAACAGGAAAGCTGATGTTTCGGGCCTAGACCCTTCTTCAGAAATGTGGGAGGGGAAGGGGGTTCTGAAATAAATAGGGAGAGAGGGGGAGGCAGATAGAAGATGGATAAAGGAGAAGATAGGTGGAGAGGAGACAGACAGGTCAAAAAGGCGAGGATGGAGCCAGTAAAGGTGAGTGTAGGTGGGAAGTTAGGGAGGGGATAGGTTAGTCCAGGGAGGACGGACAGGTCAAGGGGGCGGGATGAGGCTAGTAGGTAAGAGATGGGGGTGGGGCTTGGGGGGGGAGGAGGGGATAGGTGGGAGGAAGGACAGGTTAGGGAGGCGGGGACAAACTGGGCTGGATTTGGGATGCGGTTGGGGGAGGGGAGATTTTGAAGCTTGTGAAGTCCACATTGACACCATTGGGCTGCAGGGTTCCCAAGCGAAATATGAGGTGCTGTTCCTGCAACCTTCGGGTGGCGTCGCTGTGGCACTGCAGGAGGCCCAGGATGGACATGTCGTCTGAGGAATGGGAGGGGGAGTTGAAATGGTTCGCGACTGGGAGGTGCAGTTGTTTAGTGCGAACCGAGCGTAGATGTTCCGCAAAGCGGTCCCCAAGCCTCCGCTTGGTTTCCCCGATGTAGAGGAGGCCATGACGGGAACAGCGGATGCAGTATACCACATTAGCAGATGTGCAGGTGAACATCTGCTTGATGTGGAAAGTCTTCTTGGGGCCTGGGATAGGGGTGAGGGGGGAGGTGTAGGGGCAGGTGTAGCACTTCCTGTAGTTGCAGGGAAAAGTGCCGGTTGTGGTGGGGCTGTAGGGGAGTATGGAGCAGACAAGGGAGTCACGGAGAGAGTGGTCCCTCCAGAAAGCAGATAAAGTTGGTGGTGGGGTCGGATTGCAGATGGCAGAAGTGTCGGAGGATGATGCGTTGGATCCGGAGGTTGGTGGGGCAGTACGTGAGGACGAGGGGGATTCTGTTTTGGTTGTTATTGCGAGGAGGGGGTGTGAGGGATGAGTTGTGCGGGAGACACAGTTGAGGGCGTTCTCGACCACTGAGGGGGCAAGTTGCGGTCCTTGAAAAACGAGGACATCTGAGATGTTCGGGAGTGGAATGCTTCATCCTGGGAGCAGATGCGGCGGAGGCGAAGGAATTGGGAATAGGGGATGGCATTTTTGCAGGAAGGTGGGTGGGAGGAGGTGTATTCTAGGTAGCTGTGGGAGTCGGTGGGCTTGAAATGGATATCGGTTTCCGGGTGGTTGCCAGAGATGGAAACTTTTCCCTGCAACCGCAGGAAGTACTACACCTGCCCCTACACCTCCCCCCTCACCCCCATCCCAGGCCCCAAGCAGACTTTCCACATCAAGCAGATGTTCGCCTGCACATCTGCTAATGTGGTATACTGTATCCGCTGTTCCCGTCGTGGCCTCCTCCACATCGGGGAAACCAAGCGGAGGCTTGGGGACCACTTTGTGGAACATCTACGCTCGGTTCGCACTAAACAACTGCACCTCCCAGTTGCGAACCATTTCAACTCCCCCTCCCATTTCTCAGACGACATGTCCATCCTGGGCCTCCTGCAGTGCCACAACGACGCCACCCGAAGGTTGCAGGAACAGCACCTCATATTTCGCTTGGGAACCCTGCAGCCCAATGGTATCAATGCGGACTTCACAAGCTTCATAATCTCCCCTCCCCCAACCGCATCCCAAAACCAGCCCAGCTTGTCCCCGCCTCCCTAACCTGTCCTTCCTCCCACCTATCCCCTCCTCCCACCTCAAGCCCCACCCCCATCTCTTACCTACTAACCTCATCCCGCCCCCTTGACCTGTCCGTCCTCCCTGGACTGACCTATCCCCTCCCTAACTCCCCACCTGCACTCACCTTTACTGGCTCCATCCCCGCCTCTTTGACCTATCTGTCTCCTCTCCACCTATCTTCTCCTTTATCCATCTTCTATCCGCTTCCCCCTCTCTCCCTATTTATTTCAGTATCCCCTTCCCCTCCCCCATTTCTGAAGAAGGGTCTAGGCCCGAAACGTCAGTTTTCCTGCTCCTCTGATGCTGCTTGGCCTGCTGTGTTCATCCAGCTCTACACCTTGTTATCAAAGTATTTCTGGAGCCTTGTCTTTTTGAAGCCTGTATGAAAGAGACAGTTCCTGAAGTGCAAGTGTGATTTGTGCTGGCTGAGGTATACATGTGGACAGAATAAATGTTGAAGGTGAGCTTGCTGTTGGGAAGCATATATTATTTTTCTTTTATTGTGGCATTTTGAAATCTTTCAAATTGTGTTATATGTAATTAGTTTGGTTTAATAGGTTTTATCTTTTCTTTTGCATAATAAACTTCCAGTTTACTGTGAAGGTCAGAACTGCAGCACTGCAGCACTGCATGCTGTATTTTAGTGAAAGATCACCACATTCAATTTTTAAGAAATTATCTATTGAGCCAGACTTCAGTATGGAATCTAACTTATCCAGTAATAAGATCAGCTAGGGTCATAAAAGCCGGTAAACTAATACATCAGGACAGGTGCAGATTTGTACTTTGCATTTGAAGGTGTTGCAAAGATATGAAATGAAATTCATGTTACGTTTTGTTTTGTCTCATGTCTTGCCAGTAGCTGATCCATCTCCTTGAAAACCAGATTATTTGTGTCATCAATGAAGTTGATCATCTCGGACGACAGGTCAGAATAATCACCAGCTGTAGGTTATGGACAAAACAATGAATGGAATGATTTCCAAGTCATCCTATAAAGACTAAAAGGTCTAAGAATAAATAGAAAAGCAAGGATGAATTGCAGACTGTAACTCAAAATCAGGTCAAGAGAACAAATTTCTCGTAGCACCATATGGCTTCAAAGAAACTCAAAATATCTTCAATTTTTTTAACGTGGTAATTTTTTCAATAAAAATTAAGAATTAATATCAGATTTTATTCATAATCATCACATTGAAAATTAGAAGTAGCTAAATAATTCTGAAGAAATTTTAGAAGCAGCAAAAGGCCATTAAGTCAATCAAACCAATATCTTTTTGGTAGATCCAAACATAAATGCCCACCATGTCCTCAATCCTTTCTACCTTCAAATATCCATTCATCTACTCCTGAACTCATTGCTTTGCTTGTGTAGCACACAAACCCACATCAACCCTACGATAACTGCACATCTGAACCAAAGACCCACTACCCACTATGTACAGTATCAATGTCATATACAAGATTCCCTGCAGAGACTGTGACAAACACTACATCGGACAAACAGGAAGGAAATTAACAACAATGGTACACGAACACCAATTGGCTGCAAAAAGACACGACCAATACTCATTCATCTCTATCCACATGGATAAGGAGAACCACCAATTTAACTGGGACAACACCAAGACCCTGGGACATGCAAAGCAGAGACAAGCACGGGAATTCCTAGAAGCCTGGTACTCCACGAAGAAAGCCATCAATAAACACAGAGCTCGACCCCATATACACTCCACTGCGAAGGAAACCAGAAGTGAGGTAATCCAGCTCAACGGACTCCAGAGTTCAAATAGCAGGCAGAAAAACACAACAGCGCTTCATTGGAGGCTGCACTGATGATATTACCCAGCAGGCCAATGAAACGTCTGCGGAAAAACAATGAACCAGTTCGGCGAGCCAACCAACCACAACATCCACAACCCGAGGTACAAATCTAATCTAAAACCTTAGAGCTGTGGAAGACAAATCTCTACAATGCGTTAGGGTAATATGAGTAATATGTTGAGGAGCTGATTGGAGGACAGCCTATTTTATATCTAGTATTATGTAATGAAGAGGGTTAATTAATAATACAGACAGATAACCACAATATGTTAGAATTTTATATAATGTTTGAAGTGAGGTAGTTCAATCTAAAGCAAGGGCGGTAAATTTGAATAAAGGGAAATTATGAAGGCACGAGGCACAAATTGAACTAGATTGGAAGAATTAAAAACAAACATAAATATACAAAGACAATGGACTGTCTTTAAAGGACTACTACATGACTTACAGCAATAATTCTTGCAAGGTGGAAAAAATTCAAAATGGTCAGTCCACTGAGGCTAACAAAGGAAGTTGAGGATTATATAAGATTAAAAGAAAAGACTTACAAAGTGGCCAGAAATAGTAATAAATCTGAGGATTGTGAAGATTTTAGAATTAAAAAAAGGAGGGTAAAGAAACTGATAAGGAAAAGAGTAGAATTTGAATACAATCAGTGGGGAGGTGACGGCTTTCTGGTATTGTTGCTGGACTGTAAATCCAGAGTCCCCAGGTAATGTTCTGGAAACCTGGGTTCAAATCCTGCCATGGCAGATGGTGGAATTTGAATTCAATAAAATTCTGGAAATAAGAGTCCAATGATGACCATGAAATCATTGCCAATTGTCAGGAAAAAACCCATCTGGTCTGCCAGTGTCCTTTAAGGAAGGAAACTGCCATCCTTACCGGACTCAACAGCCACAGCAATATGATTGACTCTTAACTGCCCTCTAGTGAATAAATTTTAAAAAGCCTAGCAAAAATAGAACATAACAATTAAAGTAAAAAACTTTATATAGTTAAGTAAAAAGGAAACACTTGGCTTAGATGAATGTGTCCATTTATTCCCTCCCTCCTCACCATCCAAAGTCCCAAACACACCTTCCAGGTGAGGCAGCGCTTTACCTGCACTTCACTCAACTATTCTACTGCATTTGCAGCTCTCAATGTGATCTCCTCTACACTGGGGAAACAAAGCACAGACTGGGTGACCGCTTTGCGGAACACATACATTGTGTTCACAAAAAGAAAGACTCTGAGCTTCCAGTTGCCTGCCACTTCAACACTCCACCATGTTCACTCACCAACATCTCTGTCTCTGACTTGCTGCAGTGCTCCAGTGAAGCTTAACACAAGCTGGTAGAACAGCACCTCCTTTTCCACTTGGGAACTCTGCAGCCTTCTGGACTTAATATTGAGTTTAACAATTTTAGTGCTCGAGGCCATGTTCTTACCCCAAACCCCACACACCAAGCCTCATCATCACACGGGCTGGTACCAGACACAACTAACCTCCGTTATCGTGAATTGCTTCGAGAGGCTGGTCATGGCCCACATCAACTCTGGCCTTCCAGCCTGCTTTGATCCCCTGCAATTAGCCTACTGATGAAATAGGTCCACAGCAGATGCTATTTTCCTAGTCCTACACTCATCCCTGGAACAGTTGAATAACAGGGACACCTACATTAGGCTCCTACTCATTGACTAGTGCCTCGCCTTCAACACCATAATCCCTTCCAGACTAAATCTCAAAACTCCGAGACATAGGTTTCGGCTCCGCCTCTGCAACTGGACCCTCAGCTTCCTGACCCACAAACCCCAATCAGTGAAGACAGACAACAGCTCCTCCTCCATGATAATCCTGAACACTGGCGTCCTGCCAGGATGCGTTCTCAGCCCCTATTGTACTCCCTGTACACCTACAACTATGTAGCCAAATTCCAAACGAATGCCACCTAAAAGTTTGCTGAAGACACCACTGTGGTAGGACAAATAAAAAACAATGATGAGTTAGAATACAGGAAGGAGATAGAGTGCTTGGTGTCGTAGTGCAACCTCTCTCTCAATGTCAGCAAAACAAAAAAAACTGATCATTGACTTCAGGAAGAAAGGAGGAGGACACACCCCTACGTACATCAATGGAGCTGAGGTGGCCAGGATCAAGAGTGTCAAGTTCCTAGGAGTGATGATAACCAACAATCTGTCCTGGACCTCCCATGTAGATGCAACGGTCAAGAAGACACAACCAATGCCTCTCCTTCCTCAGGTGGCTTAGGAAATTCAGCATGTCCACAAGGACCCTCAGCAACTTTTACAGATGCACCAAAGAAAGCACTCTGTCCAGGTGGATAACAGCCTAGTACAGCAACTGCTCAGCCCAAGACTGTAAGAAACTACAGAACGTTGTGTGTACAGCCCAAACCATCATGGAAGCCAACCTCTCATCCACGGACTCCATTTACACTTCTCGTTGCCATGGAAAAGCAGCCAACATCATTAAAAGACCCCTCCCACCTGGTAAGCTCTCTTCCAACCTCTTCCGTCTGGCAGAAGATGCAGAAGCTTGAACACACGTACCAACAGGTTCAAGAACAGCTTCTTCCCTGTCCTTATTAGACTGCTGATTGGACCTCTCAAACTTCAAATAATGTTGATCTTGCTTTTTGCACTTCCTGTGCAGCCATAACCTTGTCTGCCTTGCTCTGTCTAAGCACACTATGATCTGTATGTCCTTATTTGCTATGATCTGCCTGTACTGCTTGCAAAACAAAGCTTTTCACAGTACTTAAGTACATGTGGCTACAATAAATCAATTGATCATCAATTGTTAGCCATATTAACAACTATTCATTCCCGCAGACTCACTTTTAACCATTCCTTTGTCCAACTGTTTTTCTCCCTCTTTTGGCTCCATCTCCACTGATCGTTTAGTCTTCCCCCTATCCCCATCCCATCTTCTACAAAAAATATCAACCTTTTCCTAGGTAACATCCGTTCTAAAGTAGGGTCACTGGACCCGCAACATCTTGGCCTTTTAGCTAAGATCAAGAGTCAAGTTGTGAGTCATCAGAGCTATTGAGATCATTGCTGGATCAAGATCGTGATTGAACCTTGGAGGACCTTTGTTTGAACTGACCTGCTCCTGGTGGATCTTTATGCTGGCTTTGGCTTAACACCAATTCAGGGAAAAGCCAACCTAGAGTTATGGCCTCAGCAACCACCCCCACCCCAGGCCAGGGAGTCTGGAACACACGGTCAGGGTGACCGCAAAGAAGACGGAAGAAGGCACACCAATCAATCGGACCTTTTTTGTGAAGAGGATTCTCTGGACTGCTGTGGGTGCCAAGCAGCAGACATCTGACTGAAATATTTGTTCATAACAAGACACGTCACTATGTACTGAGGTTCTACCTGTCCCTGGTGTTGCGAAGGATAGGACTGGCCTCGCTACCACGGAACGCTCCAAGTAGTCGGGCCATTCCATCTCACCTCTTCTTTGTAGAGAAATTTGCAAAGAAAAACACCTTTGACCGCAAATCCATCAGGAAGTTATCAGCATGTAGCGTTCTCGAGACCCTGCAGGAAAAGGAGAGGGTGGAAGCTGTCGCATGGTTCCCTGAGCAGACTGTCAAAGTCACTTGGCAGAATGCCTCATCACCCGAACCTTCCAACAAGCACCAAGGCATCGCTTGGCTGGTGGTGAGAAGGGCTCTACCTGTGACGTCCTTTATGTATGTCCAGTCGGTCTGCACCACTGCATACTGCCCTGGGTGTGGTGGGGTTGAGACTGTCGTACATCTCATTTTGGAATATACCTTTGCCAAGAAGTCTGGAAGAAGATACAGTGGTTTTTGTTGAGATTCGTCTCGAGCAGCTCTGTGACGATGGGACTGTGCGCTCAACAGTCTGTTCCCCAGGACACACACCACGACAAACATGCACCCAGCCTAGAAGGCCATCAACTCGGTGAAAGTCACTTTTTGGTCTGCCCGAACCTTGTTGGTCTTCCAAAACAAGGCGTTGATCCTGACTGTGTGTTGCAGACTGGCACATTTCAAGGTCCAAGACTGCGTGCTGAGGGACGCACTAAAGCTTGGGGCAGCTGCTGCCAAGGTGCAGTGGGGAACGTCCACAGTCTAAGG